CGTGCTCTGCAACAAGAGAAGCCACTGCAATGAGAAGCCCGCCCACCACAGCGAAGAGAATCCCCACTCGCCGCAACTAGAGAAAGCCTGCAATGAAGACCCAACGCAGCCCTAAAAAAAAAACAAGAAAGAAAAAAAAGATACCATTACTCTATATCATCTCTCTCTCTCTCTCTCTCTCACTCTTCCTCCTCACTCTCTGGTGCCCTCCTGCTCCCCCGTCTTCTCTTCCCTTCTTTCCAGTGCCCAGAACTCTACTCTCTTACTTTTGTTTCTACTGAGAGTTTCTCAGATCTTTTTTAACAGCTCTATTATCATTTCCTTCTCTGCATTTTCAATAGTTATCTTTTGATCAAATGCCATATTCTTTGCTATCTCCCTGAGCAGGTGAAAACACTTGTCTTGGTTCAGTTCAGCAACCCTTATTTTCAGCTCCTTGATTGATGCCAGCCTTATGAGATCTCTAGCTTCACCCCTAAATCTAATGGATTGCTTTGCAGGTCCTGGGGACGTGGTCCTTCAACTTTCAAATGGTTGATCATACCCATGTATCGCTTCTCCTATTATTTATATATTTTTTCATTAACTTGGCCCACTTTTTTTTTTATTGACGTATAGTTGATTTACAATGTTGTGCCATGGCCCACTTTTTAATTCAGAAGAATTTATGGAAATGGGCACCACTAAACAATGAGTGAACTTGTAGGTCTGACAGGCTAGTGATGGAAGCTCAATTCCTACCTTTCAAAATACTAAAAGTGTGTGTGTGTGTGTGTGTGTGTGTGTGTGTGTGTAGTGTGTCCTCAGGTAGAAGGGACCCAGGTGATGACTTTTGTGACCCTCCTTGCTGACTCAGAAACCCCTTGGCCATCTGCACTGGGCCTGAGCATAACAGGCAGCATTTCCCCTGCAGGGCTGGGCTCCCGAGTAAGATGATTCTTCTTTGCACTCAGCCCAAAGGGGCGGCCCTGGTTTTGAACCTTAGCTTCTAGCTCACAGCATCTTCTTACAAATCCACTGCCTCCAGCACTTTCAGGGTGTCCATGATTATCACTCTCTCTCTCACTTCAATCTTCTCTTCCCTGAAAAGTTTAAGAGGAGCTAATTCTAGGTAAGGGGGATTGCTAGTTACAGGGATCCTGCGGGTCTTTCAAATCCTCTGTGCTCTGGCAGGACTGGGAGATGCCAGAGGGCTCCACCATCAGGTGGGAGGGATGGAGACCTTGGACGACAAAGAGGAGAAGGAGTGGAGAAAGCAGGGTGTGTACAAAAGGTCAGTCGTTCTGGTACCCATGCTGTTATAGTTGCTGGGTTGCTCTGATCCACTGTCAAGGCGGAGGATAATCGGGGCAGGAAGGTTTGGAGAGCAGCCTCCCCTTACTTTCCTTAAAAGTAACCAAAGCCAGAAGCTTATTACTCTGCCCAATAAAATTAAAAAGAAATAACTGGTTTAGACCTATTAGAGGGGACCAATGTGTCTAAGACATGTCCCAGGTCTTCTCAGGATGGCCCTAGGCCTATTTATTGTGCACTATTTTTTTAACACCTTTATTGGAGTATAATTGCTTTACAATGTTGTGTTAGTTTCTGCAGTACAACAAAGTGAATCAGCTATACGTCTACATATATCCCCATACCCCCCCCCCTTGCGACTCTCTTCCACCCTCCCTATCCCACCCCTCTAGGTGGTCACAAAGCACCGAGCTGATCTCCCTGTGCTAGTGCACTATTTTTAATGAGATCAAACGAGCAAGCCACACACTTCCTTTAAATAAAATAGAACCTTGCATGCCTTTTTATGAACCTCTTTAATCATCATTTCTTTAAAAAAAAACGGAGCACGGGGGACATTTCTAATCACCAGAACATACCAGTATCTAAAAGGAGGTAGGGGTAGCAGCTTCAAATAGCACATTCAAGATTATAACATACTTCCGGCCAGGATGAATCCTGCACCATAAGCTTTAGAGTGCAGGAAATATTCATATTCTTTTTTGCCTTAAATCAACTTAAGGCCATCTATGAGCCCTTGGTTTGCTGCCCTGATGGGGCAGAGTTTAGTTCATCACTGTCCCCCACATACATACACCACCCATGCAGCAAGATTCCAAAGCCGCCTTCGGATACAGAGTAAAGTATTCCAGAAGCTACCTTCCTGGAAAGAGGACAGAAATGTGCTGCGTAAACAAAGCTAAAACTTCATATTTCAGTTAGCTTTTCCGTCACCGAATTGCCTGTTTGGAGCTGCCTCCTTAAAATCTTATCATCATAATATGAACAGTGGGAAAAATATATAAATGTTTTTGGCTAGTAGGGTGGCTTGATAAGGGCAAAAGGGACAGATTTCTAAGCCTTGGCACCAGGAAACTCAGGACTTGAAGTTATTGACGTAACCCTGTTCATCCAAACCTCACCCAGTGGGAAGCAAAAACCCCAAAAGGAACCGAAAGCACAAAGGGACTTTTTTGGAGCTTTTCTCCCTGAATGGAGTTTCTCTTTCCACCTTAGTCTGGATGCTCTCCTCTGAGTCCCTTTGCTCTCTCTACTTGCCTTGTTCTCGCGGCTTTTCATTGGTCTCAACCAATGCAGACGTTCTCTATCTGTTACTCTCGCCCATTCTTTTTCCTTATTTGTGGGCTCCTACTGCCTGTACCTTCAGGAAGCTTCTACTTCCTGTTATACAAAAAGCTATGAGGCAGGGCTTCCCTGGTGGCCCAGTGGTTGAGAGTCTGCCTGCCGATGCAGGGGACACGGGTTCGTGCCCCGGTCCGGGAAGATCCCACATGCCGCGGAGCGGCTGGGCCCTTGAGCCATGGCCGCTGAGCCTGCGCGTCCGGAGCCTGTGCTCCGCAACGGGAGAGGCCACAACAGTGAGAGGCCCGCGGACCAAAAAAAAAAAAAAAAAAAAAAAAACTAAACTAAAAAGCTATGAGGCAAGGAAGAGACACCAATTTGACCTACCCACAGGACAGCACAAATTAATAATTCAATAAGTCATTGTCATCTTACAAATAATTCAATAAATTATTGTCATTTTACAGAGAAGGGAACACTCAATAAATGGCAGCTAATAATTGTAATGTGTTTGATTTTAGCTAGACTTAGTAATGTCCACATTTTTTTTCCCCTTGGGTGAGTGTTGATGAAGATAGTTTTCCTTTCTGTGTATTTTCTTTTTTTCTAATTTCTCCATCCCTTCTCTACTCTCCTCCATTTCTGAAATTAAAAAAAAAAAAAAGTCCTAAACTAAGTCCTAACTCCCTCCATTTGCATCCTCTATCCAGAGGCTACCCTAGGGGAAGGGTATAGACTGATGTTTGGGTTTATGGGTTATCTGAGGATTTGGAGGAGGTCCAGCCTGTTTAGCCCCTGCCTGCTTCTCTATTTAAAATGGTATAAACTCAAAGTTTGGAAAAAGAAGACTTGAGAAGGAGAGGATGGAGCTACACCACAAGAAGGAAATAGGTTGTTCCCTGGGTGAATAAAGAACATGTAAGTTGCTCTTTCATTTCATTAAGGGGAAAAAAAAAACCAACCACCTAACCCACAGATTATAATAAATGTACTTGATGCAATTATAATAAAACCCAAGTTCATCATTGATGGAGATTAATACTCTGCCTCAAAATTGTAATTATTTGAAATTCGAAGGGAAGGAAATTAAATAACTAGTGTCTTTCCTATTTTCTAGTAAATTGCCTCAATTTGATCAGAAATATGGTTACATTTTTCTTTGTTATCTAATCTATAAAACAACAAATATGATTCCACTGAATTTGAGGTCCCTCGTAATAAAAATGATATGATTTAGAAAATACCTCCCAACCCCACCCATTTCTTTTAAATTGTGTTTATTCCAAGTCATTTTCAAAACATTGAGGCTAATATAATACCATGGGTGAATAACTACCTCTAGATCAAGTTAGGTAAATTTAATTATGGCCCCATAATGAGAAACATCCTCCTCTTCTCTAAAAGTGAAAAGCTTAATAAAGTGGTACCATTTAACAAACAATTCTAAATTGGACAAATAATTCTAAATCAGGTAACTGTTTTGGGGAGATGGAGGGAATAAAGAGTTGAAAAAAATAAGAGTTGAATGCTTAAGTTGGTCTGTATTTTGTTAGGAGATATTTCTTGCTAAAATCATCAGTGGGGGAGAGAGAGAGAGAAACGGGGTTTGGGGGAAGAAATATCTTTCTGGGGCTGTAGTGATCAACAATTAAATATATTTACAAGAAAACAACCAAAACATCAGCCATGAAAATATATTTTCACCCTCTACAGCTGGTAACTACAGCTGTCATCCTACATATTATATTGAAAACACACAGACCATACTGAGAACTTCAGAGAGGATTTCTTTTTGAAGGAGGGTCTTTAATTTGACATGGGAAAAATGTCATCTTTTTGGGGAAGGTGTTTTGCCTTTATTCTGAAGTTAATCAGGGAGTTAATGCCCCTCACTCAACAGCACGACGGCTATCATGAGCAGAAGGCCATCAGTCCTCCAAGCCTTTGGACTCTTTCTCACAGGAAGAGGAAATGGGCGGCACCCAGTAGAGAAATTTGCAGCAAACTTGTAAAAAGAATGACTCCGGAGGAAACAAGGATGGCATGCACGTTAATGAATACTTACATAAATGTCTGCACCATAAAATCCATCCTGGTAAACAACACTGCAAGGGTGCACACACAAAGAAAAACATTCATATTAGTGCATTTCCCCATGCAGACACACCAACCCCTGCACTGGCGAAGTTAGTCTGGTCACAAGATCCGAAACACAGGAACCGAGGATCGTTTTCAGATTGGTTAAGGAGGTTGGAGACAATGGCAGTCCATCAGACTGAGAAAATTAGGCTGGGGTTCGGTGTCTGCCCAGAATCAGGACATGGTGGCGTGCTGGGTACCAGACTTTGCAATCTTTCCGGAGGGGTGTAGAAATGCAAAGAGGATTCACGTTTATTTTAAGTGACCCACGCAGATATGAGGATCAGGGTTTGCATTCAGCAAAACCATCTAGGTCCCCCCGGAAAAAAAACCATCTGCTTAAAATGTATGATTGATAAGAGCAGGCGTATGGATGTCACATTTTCAATACGGGTTAGAGCTGAATGACCTCAGGGGCACTGCACAATCCAAACGATTTCAGAAACTTTCTTCTATATTCTTCCACACTCTAGTATTCTATTTGACGATTCCACGTGCCCCTCTTTTATGGTACATGTAGAATATCTCTAATTATACGGGTGTGTGAACAGGTGTGTAGATGTGTGTGCAAAAATATATGTGTGCTTTTGTATATGGGTGTGCTTTGTGCGTATATATGCATATGAATGTGTGCGTTACTTTGAACATGTAAATGCATACGTGTGTGCATGTGTATACCGTGTACATGCGTATAAGTGCATGTGTGTGCATGTGTATATGAATGTAGATATTGTGCATATGATGTGTGTAGTATGTGTGTGCACATCTGTGTGTACGTGGGCTCATGAGTCATGTGTGTGTACACGCCTATGTCTGTGTGTATATTCGCATAAATTATAACCAGACTAAGCAGACTCCCACATAATGATTGAACAAGCCTGGCCTCACAGCAGCTCTCTGATTCCTGTCCATTTAGTCATCTCAGAGAGAAGGGACCTCACAGGACGGGGTAAATAAAAGATCCTGGACTTTTCCAGAAGTTTTTTGGTTTACCTCGAGTGAAATATCCAGGAAAAGAAGCTCACAGCTCTGGGCTCCTAGGAAACTGACTTAAAATTCCTAAGCATTAAAACGGGTTTAATGAGGATCCCATGTAGCCTGCGCACCTCACAGGCCTTTGTGAAGATCCCAGAACATCTCAAATACAAAAATGTGGGTTTCTAAGGCATGTTTCCAAAGGATAGCAGTTGTTATTAATAACCTTCCCTGATCTCTTCCCCTGGAATTTACAGATGATTTATGATTCTGTCAAATGCGCCCCACCGCAAATTCTCCAATGCGCCCCACCGTCGAATGGAGCTGCAGTCCTAACAGAAGCAGGACTTTGATTACCGAAGGATTCCAGCAGGTTTCAGGAGCAGAGTGGACCCGCAGGTAAGCCAAGCATATCGAGAGCCAAGGGGAGACACTCGACAACACGCACATGCACACACGCACACGGCAGTGACACTGGTTTGCTGGAGAACACTGCAGTGTGCTTCTCAGAGCTTTTCAGAGTTGATTGGTTAAACCCCAAGTACCATCATCTTTAAAAACGGGGCAGGGATTTCACATGCTAAGGAGGTCAGTAGGAATCGCTTTCAGCTGTTTTTGTTTGGATCGAAAAGGGGCTCCGGTTCACAAGAGCACTTGTCAAGCAGCGTCAAACCCTAATCCGAGATCCAGAGGTAAGTGGCAACCTGAGCTAGGCTTTGATTTCTCTTTCAACGTTTCCAACATAAAAAGATACTGCCTGTTGGGGGTCAGAAGCCAGGGCTGGCCTCTGCCAGCAAGACTGGGCCCAGAGCTGATCATTCAGCCAGATCAGAACAGCGCTGTCCATTCCCCCAAGACGTCAGTCACACTGTCCATTCCTCCATGACATCACGCCCTTGCAAGTGCTGGTCCTTGTGCCAGGGAAGCCTTGTCTCCTGATAACCTCATCCAAAAGCAGAACACCATTCAAGAGCCAAGTTAGAGAGGAAACACACGGGCATCTGGGTCACAGCCTCAGCAGTCAGCAGCTATGCGCCCTGGGACTAATGACCTAGGCTACCTGAGCTTCACTTCTTCATCTGTGAAATGGGGAAGGAGGTTAAGTGCCCACGTCAAGGGAGGATTGAGTTAGGTGATGTGTGCAAAGCGATGAGCGAGGTAGTTGCCAACAAAGTTCTAATTAAATATCACATCGCTATGAGCTTTATCCAGTGCCCACCCCAAGCTGAGTTCTTCCTCCTTCCTGTGAACACCAGCACCACGTTTTCCGATCCTCAAATCCTCACTTGGTCCAACAATTTTAAATATTGGTCAAATATTAAAGGCATTTGTGTAGGCAGCTCATTTCACCCTGAAAGTTGCACCCAATAGCTTACTCGACATTCTATCCCACTTGACGGCCAACACATTGCTTTTCACACTGAAGATGTAAGTAAATATCTATTGAGTGAACACTGCCCATAGTTTAAAGGGGGGGTTGGCCATTAGTAGGTGACAGAAGGTGACACAGCAATTCTAGGTAGAATCTTCATCTGGTTATTCAGCATCAATGGCTGCTGTCAATGGTGGGGGGGGGGTAAGATTCAAAAACTGGACCCTGGGACTTCCCTGGCGGTCCAGTGGTTAGGACTCTGAGCTTCCATTGCAGGGGGCATGGGTTCGATCCCTGGTCGGGGAACTAAGATCCCACAAGCCACGCGGTGAGGCCAAAAACAAACAAACAAACAATAAAACCCCAAAAACCTGGACCCGGACTTCGGATACCAGTGCAAGAGGCTAGACAATGTGATGCACATGTGAACAATATATTAATATTTAACCAAACATTAATATACATTCAAATATGGGAAGGGATGCCTTTCTCTAAATATTTGTAGAGGGGGACTCCATCTGTGTCTGCTCTTGCAGACATTGGGGGCTGTTCCAGGGGGCACAGGACCAGGAGTGGCTGAGGCAGAGCTCTGGCTGAGAAAAGGGCCCCTTCTTTCATCAGGACAAGCTCTTGTGCACTGTGGCCAGCTGCGTGCCTCCATGGCAAGCCTCTTGGTACCAACAGCTCCCAGAAGTGAGTCAGGAACAGGCCCCGATGTTTGCCTTAGGCTTGTTCAGCCAGGTGACCTGGCTGCCACGCTCTGCCCTCCACCATGGACCACAGAAGATTACTCAGGGACTCTGACATCCCACGTTTACAAGACAGAGAACCAAAGGGAACATGTGATCTCGCGTCTCATTTGAACAGACTCAAACAAACAGACTGATGAGCCCTATTCCTCTGCTGTTGGAATGCTTACTACACTCCAACCAGGATGCTGCGGCTCAGGGCAAGTCCACCAGCTAAGGCTGCCCTCAGGGAGCTTACAGGGAGGCACAAAGCCAGGTACCCTGGTGTAAGGTGGCAGCCGCGAGAGCTGCTGCAGAGGAGGGGAACGATGGCACTCTGACCTGGTAATGGAAGGAGGAGGGCTGGCATCAGAGGTGAGGGAACCCCAGCGAACGGCCCAGAAACCCCAGCACCTGAGCTAGTTCAAGAGGAACTAGGGAGGAAAAGCAAGCCAGGCAAAGGGAACAGCCAATGCAAGGTCCGATGTCTACAGGGTCCAGGGCATAATTTCTAGTTTGGGGGTGTTCAGAGGCTCAGCCAACTGTGGTGGCTTCCCTAAGAAAGGAAGTGGAGAATTCTAGCTGCTCTTACAAACCGCCCAGGGTAGGGACTGCTGGTTTTCACTATGGGCAACACCTGTACAGTTTGGAGAGAAACGAACCAGGGGGTGAGTGATCTACCTTCACAATGACTCCAAAAAACTAGGAACCGATACGGCCATCCTCATTGGCCGCATGAAACAAAGCCACTTGATGGGCTGCGAGTTTCATCACGATACTGTGTGTTTTTTTCCTAAGTCATAGCACGAATGTGATCGCCACGAGCCCTCACACCTGGAGAGCGATTCCTCTGTGTCCGTCCCTAGTCTGACCTAATTATCATTATCCCACCTAATCCTCAAAATACCCCTATGAGACGGATAATGTTATTATAGCCTCTTTGGACATCAAGAGAGTGAAACGGAGAGAGCTAGGTACTGATGAAGAAGCTGGGATTCTAGCCCAGGTTGTATTGGCTTCACAGCCCACATTTTTAATTGCCATGGCAGGCAGCAGTGGTCAAACTTCAGCAGGCATCAGGACCACCTTGAGGGCCTGTTAAAACACAGATGGCTGGGCCCCATGCCCAGCCCAGAGGTTCTGAATCAATAGATCTGGATGGCGGGGTGGGGAGGTTGGGTCTAAGAATTTGCATTTTTAACAAGTAACGGGATGCTGACGCTGCCGGTCCCAGGACTAATAGGCTTATTGCCCTATGGAGCACCAACCTCCACGTGTCATTTTACTTTACATTTGAGACAGCCCTGAAGGTCAGCTTCCTAGGTCCTATTCTATATAGGAGCTGGTTATAGGCAAGCTCTTAGAAAGTCCCATGTTGGTTTTCGAGAATGGATCCAAACATTTTTTTAAAACCCCACTAAACAGGTGCATATGTGAAGGGAAATGAGGGCAGGGGATGATGTCTAATGCATAGCTATCGATAAATTAGCCACATCCCAGTACAAGAGAAGAGAGTTGCCATCATGCATTGAACAGGTGTAGCCTTATTTTAATGCAGAGGCGGTCTGTCTAGCCATGCAGAGGTAACTGTAATCTCTTCGGAACTGCAATATGCTTTCACAAGAGCGTGATGCAAATGCACATCTCATTTTCTTAGAAAGGTAATAACAGGAATTAAATATTTGAATGAATGCAAGCAGGGAATGATTTCACTATAGCAAATTAGTTTACTTTATAAAAAAAGGAAAGAAAGAAATCATGCGATGCCCAAACTATACAATCTGTTTGGGTAACATAATATATCCCAACCACAAATACATTCTTGAAGGAAAGGTTATTTAAAGCTGCTTTATCTTACTGCCCATTCCAAGTGGAAAATAATATTTCTGAA